TGCTTATGGGAGATCTTATAATGCAGTTTGGGCAACAGGTCACCATGGCAACTTTCAGGAAAATGTATCTCAATTTAGGGACTCCTGAGTCTCACTGCCAGTCCTAGCAAGGTGCTAGGACTCCTGGAAAAACCTTAAGCCTTGGCCCCGTGGCTGTGGTGGCACAGGCAGTTCTCTGAGCAGGGTAGTTGATTGTATCTCTTCATCAGCACTGACTGATGCCCACAACCCCGTCCTCAAGAGACACTCGGTTCAGAAATAGCTCTCTCTTGGGACACAAACCACAGTGACTAAAGGTACAGCTGGAGTTCAGGGGTCTTAACCTTGATTAAGTAATAAATACATTACTTCCCAAAACAAAAGTGTCAATGATGCAGGGTACTCTTTACCCCATAGGAAATTCTGTAACTCAAAGTCCCTTTTAATTAATAAAAACAAGTAAATGAAAGGCAAGGACACTGTTTAGGTTTCATCTTCTCCCAGTTTATTCTTTGTTGCGCTCAGATGTGTCACGTATGTGCTTTTATTTTATCAAGATGACTGAAAAGCAAAACTTCCAGAGGCTTAGTGAGCCTCAGCATCCAATTCCCTCCCATCCCAGGCTCCTTCCTCCATAGAGAAGAATACGAGCCAGAGAATAAAAGCCCAAGAAGACATTGTTTTACCCTTATGACACATTTTGCTCACCTGCCTTTCCTTATTTCTACATTACACAGCTTATTTAATCTCCAGGAAGAACAGGTGTGGTGTGGGGGGCTCTCTCTTGCTGGGCTATCATCTTAGCTCTCATGAGCTCTTTATTCAGGGCTCTGTTGAAAGGTGCCACACAAAGGACAGGTTCTTTCAGGACACTAGCCGTGGGGAATGACATTTCGCTCACTCCTCCTGGGAGACCTCCTGGCTCGCTGGGAGCCAGAGGAAGCTTTGAAGGTTCCCTGTGAAGTGGTGGTTGATTCTTCAGCTCCGAGGGGTCAAGATCACTTGCCTCAGAGAAAGTTCTAAGGCTTTGACTAATCCTGTGCAGGTTTTCGGTGGCCTGGGGTTGTGGATGGGACTTTTCCATGTGCTTGATTTCAGAAGGAACAGAAAATTTCCCAAAAAGAAATTTGAAAATAGGGAAATGGAAGAAAAAAAAGTTATGTGTTTATGGGGTACAATCGTATGAGTAAGTAAATCCCATGTAATTGTAAAAAGATTTTTAAAAAATAATTATTGGGGGCTGGAGAGGTGGGTCAGCAGTTAAGAGCACTGACTGCTCTTGCAGAGGACCCAGGTTCAAATCCCATCACCCACATGGTGGCTAACAACCATCCATAACTCCTGTTCCTGGGGATCTGACATCTTCTTCTGACCTCCATGGGCATTGCATGACACAGGTGCATTTACATAAACATAGGCAATACAGTCATACACATAAAATAAATGAAATGTTTAAAAAAGATACTTCATTATTAAGATTCACACAAACAAACTGAGAGCCACATAGGTTGCAGCTAAGGAGGCTGGGCGCAAAGACCATACATTTTTTTCTTCCCTGATCCCTCCACTACAGTTTCATTTTTATACTTGATCTTATCCAAAAGGCATAGATCTATACAACTTGCACTTTTAAAGGTGCATATTGGGACTGGAGAGATGGCTCAGTCATTAAGAGCACTAGCTGTTCTTGCAGAGGAGCTGGGTTCAATTCCCAGTACTCACATGACAGCTAAAAACCTTCTGTTTCTAGTCCCAGGGGATCTGATGCCCTCTTTTGGCCTCTGTAAGAACTACATGGGTGTATTGCATATACATACATGTAGGCAAACACTCATACATATTTAAAAAAAAAGTTAAGGTGAGTATTGACTGGATTACCAACACTGTGAGTTGTTGCTAAGGGTTGGTAGGAAAGTTGGTTCTGATCAATGGAGACAAGAGGTCATCTGTCTCACTTTAAGAAGTTGGACTGAGATGGTGCAGAAGGCAGGAGCAGGCAGGAGGGAGGTAGAGAAGGAGGAAGGGGAAGCACAGGAGACAAGATGCAAGGGGAGAGGAGAATGGAGAAAAGGGGAGTCAGGGAGAAGCTGGGAGGAGGCAGCAGGGGCAAGGAGAAGCAGAGGAGTGTGGAGGGAGGGAGTAAAGGACAGGATGAGGGGGAAGGAGGAAAGGACCTGGGGGTGCAGGCCAGTGGAGATGGACTGACATTGGCTTAGCATTCCTTATATGTGAGGCAGTGTGGTTCCACATAAATTACTTCATTAAATCTCACAGAGGCTCTGAAAGTTAGATATGGTGTAATCCTCAATGTTTAGATGAAAAATTAGGCTTTGAAGTATCAAATAACTACTGGAGGCTACAGAGTAAGGAACAACCCTATCAGAGTCCCAGGGGAGCCTGCCTGTATCTTCAGGTCAGAGTTCTGAATGTTTGTCTTCCTAAGATCCTTTTAGAAATAAATCATTTGAACTAAAGTGGAGAAAGACTTCATCAGGGGTTAACCAAGCTTCTGTGTTATGCAATTAGACTCAGGGATGTCTTTAATGGAATTGGGATGCTGATCCCCTTATTAAAATGTAAACTTCAGTAGATTCTAGACCAGTATTTGTCAGTTCTCACTATAGGTATGTCACCAAGGGAAGTCTAAATTATAAGTTCCTCAGAACTCACCCAAAGGGACTGGCTTGAAGCCAGTTACTCTGTATTTTAAGTGTGCCCCAGACAACTCTGAGGCATCCTGATTCACTCACACCCAATATTCTAGAGGCTTCTGGATAACACTGTTCCTGTCAAATCATCACATAGTCTTAGAGGATGCTCTGTCTACTGTAGATAAATAATAAGTTATATTTATAAATGGCTTTAATTGTCAGAAAATTCCTCTTACACTGCATAACTAAAGCCTTGTAATCTGTCCGCCTGGTTCTTTTAGATAGAACTGCATGTAGAATATTTAGTTTCCTTATTATTATCTTATTTAATTTTAATTTGTGTGTGTGTGTGTGTGTGTGTGTGTGTGCGGTGCCTACAGAGGCCAGAAGAGGGCATCAGATCCCCTCCGGAGCTGGAGTTACAGATGGTTATGAGCTGCCTGAGGGAGGTGTTGGGACCTGAACTCTGGTCCTTTATAAGAGCAGTGAGTGTTCTTAAGCACTGAGCCATCTCTCCAGCCTCTTTATATTTCTAAATTTAAATTTTTTCCCAGTGTTATTTTTAGGATTGTGCATTTGGCTGAGAAAGCCATGGTCCCTACAGATTTCTGCTCTGCTCCTGAGCAGAGGGTGGGTGGCAGGACCCAAACCGCATGGTGATGAAATGAGGCTCTGCTGGGTGCCTGGCCACTGTTCTTAGAAAACCTCACATCTAGGACAAGTCCGAGTTCTCACTTCCCAGGAGAACATCTCAACAGGCCTCACCAGAATCAAAGAAAGAGCCTCATTCTGAGCTGCCCCAGTCATGGAAGAATCCAGCTGTCAACATCCAGGTGGGGTTGGCTCAAGGGGGTGGGCACCCACCCCCCTGTAAGGACTCAGTGGGGACCCTGCCCCTTCCCAGGTTCCCACTGCTCTTGGATTTCCACTCGGGCCAAGTCACTGCTTTTTCAGCCCGTTAAGGACAACTAAGAGGAGAGGAGGTGCTGAACAGAAAAACGTGATTGTTTCCCAGCATTTCGCTGGCTTCTCCAAACCACTAGAACTACACTGAGTCACTTCATTTGTTCACATAGCTAATAAACAGAAGCAACTATTTTATTCATTAATCTAGAAGAAAGTTAATTATGTGTTAAGTGTTAAAAGGTAAGAAAGACGGACTTGGTCAGTAAGGAAGGGGACCTCAGGAGTCACTTAAGTACTGGATCTACCATTTAAAACAATGTGACAGGAATTTTTATTAAAAATCTTTCCCAATTATTTATTTTAAAAATAGGTATAATAACAACGATTAGTATTGTTTGATGGTTATGTGAGATAGCGTAACATGTAAGTCCTAAACACCTGTTGATACACAGGTGGCACCAGAGGATAGAATCCCAGTCTGTATTCGAATGCCATGTGGTCCTCTGTGAGTTAATACCAATTATCTGTTTGTGAGCAGAACTTTAAATGATTGCCCAGGTAGGATGAGGAAAAGGGGACAGAGACGAGGGGGTGGAATGTGGACTGTTGGCTTTGTCCCAGTTGTCCCCTAATGTAACGAGAGGCTGAACTGCTTAGTTGGAGGTGGTGAGAACAGACTGTGTGAGGCTCTCACTGACTAGCCTCATGAATGTGTAACTATGTTCGATTTTTCTAGAGTTCTTTTTGTCCTGTTGCTCAGACAGGTTTAGGGAGATGGACTCACAACACCAGGAATCTCAGTTGGTTTTGATGGTTTTAGTAACGCAGTTCTCAGATTGTTTATTCTTTGTGGTGGACAGATCGGAGGGCTCTGATACGAACTTGATCTAAGAATACTGGAGAAGACAAAGACCTGGAGTTCTTAAACATAATGTGCAGCTTCAGTGAAGGTGTTTAAAGCATTGTCAAACCAGCGTCTGAATTTGCACATTAGTGGGTTGAGATGCTGGGAATATTCTGGGTTCTAGCTGTGAGCCTCTTAGCTGTGTAACCTCTGGGACACCTTCTTTCCCCTGCCACACAAGAGTGATGGCTGCTTTGTGGCTTATCGCTTTACCAGGAGCTTTAAAGATGAAGGTCTAGTGCTGACCTAAGGTAGCAGGCATCATGCCTGACAGTCACAGTCTCGTTTTGGCTTCATTTAGAAATGCTTCTTGCTTGGTCACGCCTCTTAAAAATAGGGAACTGGGGAAGGACACGGTCATGCTTTTCTTCCTCACTTTGAGCCCAAAGCTCAGTATAGATTGTGGTTCCATATTACACATATCAATGTAGGTTCCTAAACCACAATATCAGATACTGGAAGGAGGGCTATTCCTTCTATACATGGGCTGCTGCGAGTCACAGTATTACCTGAGTCAGCAGAGGCGGGTGAAATCCTCTCTGCCACCGGCCAGAGCTCTCGGAGTTCACACTGAGTCCATGTTTTATTTCATTAATAAAATATGACTTCATGTTTCTTTTGTAATCCAGAAGTGTGAGGGTACATTTCTTTTTGCATGCAGATAAAAGGGGATTCCTTTTGAAACTACATCCTCTTAATAATAAATAATTTTTGATCTACTATACATAACAGGAGTGCATTTCTTGTTAAAACAGCAAGCTTTCTTTTTTACCAAAATGAAAGGAAAACATTCATTTCTTTATAAATATTTTAAATAGTTTAAATACATATTTCATACCAAGGATATAAAAATAACTTCTTTTTTCGATAAATAAAGACATTTCATTTACATGGCAAATAACGTGCGAATAGCTAACCACTGGCCACCAGCTCTATTTGACTGATTGTCTAGGAGATGACACGCAGTGATAATTGTCCCTCTGCCTTCCCGAAAAGGAAAATAGATCAGCGGGAGCCGAGCACTCCCGAGGCCAACAGTGGTGTGGATACTGTTTAGTAACGACAAACAGGCACTCAGGAAAAGCCTTTGCTGCACTTCACAAAAGCCGCCTACGACAAAACTAATCCTCACACTCCTCGTCTGGGATTTCGAGCTGCGCAGACCCTCAGGGTCTTCAGACATTTACCCAAATCTGTCACACAGACCGGTAAGTTAATACCTGTACAGAAAAGGGGTTGCATGATGCTTCTAAGATCTAGAAATCGTGTGCTACGGTACGGGGTGGCTCTGCCGTTCCCCGACTCCCCGTCCTCCCCTCTGCAGAATTTCCGAGCCTCCGTGCCCAATAGAGGCCGAAGAAGGCACGGCAGAGCCGTCGTGCAGCAGCGGGCTTGGCGCTGGCAGCCTGTCCTGTGTGCTGACGTCATACCTGTATGGCTTTGCTGTCTTCTACGTCAGCTGTGCTTGTGACAACCTCCACCGGAAAGCTCTCCAAGGGCTCGGTAGACACTGACACCATCGCCTCCCTGTCCCAAGAGCCCGGTAAGTTTTCCAGACTGAAGGAGCTCACGGGTCTGTGGGTGAAGCTGTCCTCTTCCGATCTGCTTGGGAGAACCAGGGGCAAAGACGTTTCTGAAGAAGAGCAGACGGAGGACGACAGGGTCGCCGAGATAGACTGCAAAGGCGTCAGCGTGGTATCGGAGTGTGGGGAGATGCACCTTAGGAACGGCAAGGGACCTTCCTGGATGACCCGGCAACCGGACGGGTAGTCAAGGTCCGGAGAGCGGTACAGCTCACTGTCTGTGGGGCTGGGCTGAGGAGCTTCAGTCCTTTGGGGGCTGCTCCCCACGGAGGAGGGACCCACACCCCAGATGTTGGAGGTGACATTACCACGACAGAGCTGTGCTCCGGCTGCCTGCAAGTGTAGGCAGGGCTGGTGTGCGCTCAAGCTCACCCTGGTCTGCACGCTCTCCCGGGAGGGGCACATGGGGCTGGGATGCAGGAAGCAAAACCGGGATGGTTGCTGAGGCGACACGATGGTTTCTAGAAGTTGCATGATGTTCCTCATGTCTTTACCTAGCTGGGAGACCTCCTGGGTCAATGTTGTCACCTGTGTGGAGGAAGCAGAGTGGATAGCAAGAGTCAGAGGTGCACAGCGTAGCCAGATTCTGGGAAAGTAAGAGTTCTTAACAAGAGGGTAGCTCCAACTCCAAAGCTCAGCTTGAGTGGGCTGGACATCTAGATGAACCCATGTCCTGATCTAAAGCCACACCCACTGAGGACGAGCTAGAGAAATGCCTGTGCTCTGGGGGCCAATCAGTCTCTGGGAGTCACTGGAAAGAACTGGCTCTATGGCCTCTGGGGCACCAATGGTGAATTTCACTTCCCGGTGGTAATGGGATGCAGACAGGCGCTCAGAAGTCAGCTGGTGCTTGGAGGGGCAGATACTGTGTGCTGAGCACTGGGCACAGGGAGCACCTGTTCTCTCTGGCGATTGGACAGCTGCTTTTTGCTTGCTGTTTTCTAGTTGAGGTCATGTGACTGAAGATCCAGAGCCACAAGGACCTCCAGGAAGGTGAGGGTGGTGGGAACTCTCACTGGCTTTGCTAGGGAGGGAGTTCTTGGGAACAATGCAAACTACAAAATGAGGTCAGGAGAAATGGCCCTGGGAAGCACATAACCAGAGGCGAGCACGGTAGACAACTGCGTGTCCCCTGGGATTATAACCTAGACTACCTGGTCCCTGATTCAGTCATTTCTATGGGGGACTCACTCAGCCTTTATCAGATTCTCAAATGACACCCATTCCCTAAACACACAAAGACCACAGAAAAGTATTCATTTAAAACCAATAATAAAATTCACGGGCAAAGTTATTTTTCTAACAACATTAGCTTTAGTTTTCAGATTAATTTTTATTATTTTTAATTATTTATGTATGTATGTCTGGGTTTGAGTATGTGTATGTGAGTGCAGGAACCTATGGAATCCAGAAGAGGGTGTTACATCCTCTGAAGCTGCAGTTACCGGCCATTGTGAGCCGCCTGATGTGGGTGTTAGGAACAGAACTCAGGTCCTCTGCCAGAGCAGTGTATGCTCTTAAACACTGAGCCATCTCCCCAGCCCCACAACCTTACGTTAATTTTCTTTTCTGAAATCCTGGAAATCCAATTGAAGATTGAATGTAACTTGTGCTTCCCTTTTCTAAAGTGTTTTTCCCCAGCATTGGGGGACTTGCATCTCACCAAGCAGGGCTCCCACATATAGTCCCTAATCTTGTTGGATTCCTAGCACTGACACAACGTTGCAATATTTTGCCTTCCCTGTTCTAACACCTTGTATCTCAGGATGGATGGCCTCCTTTGTGATTTGATTTCACTCTCATGACCCACAAACCCCCAGTAGAAGCAGCTGGAGCCCTGGCTAAACTCCATCAGGACCCAAACAGGGCAGTTTCTCATTAATGATACTAAAACTAAGAAGTCTGTTTTGGGCAGACTTTCTTTCCCTTTTACATGCACAGTTTTAAACATTATTGTTTTTGTACAGGTATGTTGGGCATCCCTCTCCCCCCATTAGTTCTGCTGGTCACCTTTACTTCTATACATCACTAATCCGTAAATCCAGTCCATTTCCTGTAAGTGCTACCTGAAGCTAATTCTCCCTGGCAGGACCACAGGAGGTGGCACTGCTCAATGTTAGACATTTAGAAAGAGTCAGAGGGAAGCCATTCCACAGTTCAGACTACCAACTGGTAGTAACACCTGGCCTGACATTGTCAGGCCAAAACGCATAGTGTCCCTCTCCTGGCCTGGAACTGGAGGGACCCAAATGGGTGCATGTTGTGGCTTATTTTCAGCAGATCTGAAACCGTTAGAGAATCTAAAACCGTGAGGGTGAGGGAGTCGGCAGGTTCTGAGAATCTCGGGTCAGGTTGTCAATTTTGCCGATTCTGTAGCACATGGATCACTCGTGACTTTATGTCACAGGACTCCTGCCTCCCAGACACGGCCAAGGTTCCACCAGGACTCTGAGCTCTTCTATCAACATTTCAAATGAGGTGATTGAAGGGATGGGTGAACAACACTTTCTATGGGCCTTCTGGGCCCACTTCCCAGATCAAACCCACCTGGACCAGATTAACTCAGTTTTCAATAAGGATGCTCCCAAATGGCCTTTCATGGAGGACTGAATAAAAACAGAACATTTGAAGAACAAGTTTGAGTTTTAGATATCATATTATGGTATTTAATGGAAGTATGGTAATTTATAATGAGACAATACAAATTCATATATGTTTTTCTCCACCAAATCAGTCAAAGCACTAAGCTAGGGCTCCATGTGTGGCCTGGGGATGATGGTGCTTGGAGGCGAAATGGTGTTCTTTTTTAAATAAAGATTTATGTATAATTATGTGTGTGTGCGCGTGTGTATGTGGTGTGCGTGTGTGTGTGCATGCGCACATGTGTGTATGTACATGTGTATGCAGGTGCCTGCAGAAGCCAGAAGAGGGCTTCAGATCTCCTGGAGCTGGAGTTACAAGTGGTTATGAGCTGCCTAGTATAGTAATGGGAACTCAACTCAGGTCCTCTGCAAGAGCAGCAAGTGCTCTTCATCACTGTGCATCTCTCCAGCCTCAAAATGGTGTTTTTTTTTAATTTTGTTTTTTTTCCATCTTTTTATAACAGGGTTTCCCTATAGCCCCAGCTGGCCCGGAGCTCACTATGTACACCAGGCTAGCTTTAAACTCACAGAGATCTACCTGCTCTGCCACCAAGTGCTGGGACTACAGGCATGCGCCACCATGCTTGGCTTCAAAATAGTGATTTTAAGATCCCTTGTTTCATGAATGGCGTCTTTGATCCAGGATTCAGGACTTATCTTTTGGCCTTCTTTGATACAGGGTGTCACCACAGGGCAGAGAGACATTGCTTAGGAGAGAGAAGAGAGTTTTGCTAACGTGTTCAGAATCTCTAAGGAGCACAGTGACATAAACCAATGTGTCATGGAAAAAAGCTATTTGGAATATGAATTCAATGCCAGATAATCAAATAGTGTAATCTCAGAAAACAATACGAGGCTGATTAAATGGTAAATTCTCCTCAAAGCAAATTATATATGGTCAAAACAGATTTGCTACTGGGTAAATGTTACAATTCTGATGAAATACACTTTTAACTTTCTAAATGAATACTTTTTTTTCCATGGACAAAACACTTTTTCAGAGCCATGCTCCTGACTTTTAACTCGCTCTGTTCAGTCACCACAACTTGGAGGCTGCACACTCTGAATGAGAACCCAGGGACTTGCCTGACGCCAGGAATGTAAACATGTATTAACTTTTCCAGAAAGTAAATTACTATCCTAGCAAGTGCTAAAGGGAGCAAGGAACTAAAGAAAATAATGGTAAGAAAGATTTCTGTCACTGTGTCCCTAGGGGCACACCCCTGCACCTTATTAAAGTTACATGAGGGGATTAATCCCTATTAGGTTAAGGATCTCTCCATTCACAAGGACAAAGCCGGCTGTCACAAAGTGAGAGAGCATCTCCTGAAGGTGGAGACCCGGGTGACAGTGACAGGGCCAAATACTGCCACAGAAAACAGTAGGTTTTATTGCAGTGGTGTGTACTGGTCCCTGCTGGGCTTGCTGACAGAATAGATTCTAAAACAGGAAAGACACTAACTAGTCTTGATTAAGTATGAGAAACAGTTTACTTTTTGAAGTTGGTAAAGTTCAAGCCACCACATGGTAAACCAAATGGCCAATGAAGATGGTTGGGGCTGCTCTCTTGGTCTGTTTGGTTATGCATATCTGTCTTCAGAATGGAACTTAAAACCAGAGCACTGCAAAGCAGTATAACAAGTAGAATCATTCTGACCAAATGAAGCAAAATTTTTCTCTTCCCCAAAAGCAGACTAAAATCTTTAAAAGTTTCTGTCCCTCATATTAGAAAAAAATCTTTCTTTTAGCAGATACAATGGTCCCAAGCCCTATCTCATTTCTTTAAAATTAAAAACAAATTTTATGTGTGTGTGTGCCTGCTTGTTTGTATGTATACCATGTACATGAAGTGCCCTTCGAGGCCAGAAGAGAGTATCATATTCTCTAGAACTGGAGTTATAGATGGTCGTGAGCTGCCCGGCATGGGCGCTAGGAATGGAACCTGGGTCCTCTGCAGGAGCAGTGAGTACTCTTAACAGCTGAGCCATCCCCCTCCAGCCCCCCATCTCATTAAAGGCCCCATGTTTTGCATTTCCCTGATCACTGTTAGACTGTGTTCAGTGAGAACCCCACCGCTGCCCTGGTGTCCCCGTACTTGCTAGGAGCTCTTTGCCCCTCTCATCTGTGGTTTTTACTTCTTCTCAGACTGCATTTTCTATTCACAGAGCTTTGCTTTTGCTGACCTCTTAATGATTCACATGCTGTGCTTTTAGACTTGACCATTTTGCATCTTTCCAGGCCATTTGTTCCTGAATAAGCTATGAGGTCCTTCACAGTGGGTGCTGTTGTCTCTCTATGTCCAGGACTCAGGACAATACCTAGAACATAACATGCACTCAATGTATCTTCAGTGTAAAAAATGGACATTTTGAATTTTTTGTTTGGTTTTCATGTCACCTCTCTCTTGACCTTATTTCCTAGTTTTGAATTTTCTCATTTAGTTTTCTTGTTACCACTATCACCTTATTTCATGATTTTACCCCAAGTCTGCGGATGGAAAGCTGCCTGCTACAAAAATCACACTAAAAACCCAGTAACTGTCTGTCCTGTAAGCACATACATTAAAAATAGGGATTACATTTCTGTGGAGGTTTTGGATATAAACTTTTTATATGACTCCTTGACTGAGTTTCTAAGAGCAGGTGTCATTCCCACAGTTAAGAATCTCCTTTTGGGGGATGGAGAGATGGCTCAGTGGTTAAGAGCACTGACTGCTCTTGCAGAGGACCCGGGTTCGATTCCCCGCACCCACATGGCAGCTATGAACGTCCTTAACTCCAGTTCCAGGAGAATTCGAAGCCCTCTTCTGACCTCCACGGCATTGCATGGCACGGGTGCACTCACATACATGCAGGCAATACACTCATACACATAAAATAAAAATAA